GCTACCTTTGCTAACTGCTGCACACCACAATGTTACTCATGCCTAGAAGTCTTGTAAAGGAGCCTTCTATTATGATTGCCGAAGAGGCTGCGTTTGTGGTTAAAGCACTGTATCTAAAACACCCAGACACCATAAAGCCACAGGTTCAAGACATGGAAGGGCCAGCTCAGTCCTTCCTCTTTCTGAGGCTTATTCCCCGAGTCTGGTGCTGGGTGCAGGAACGGGCCGTGTCTGTCTGTTCTGCAGGCACATTAAAGATCCCAGAGCTAAAAGCGGAGGTTTTCCCTGGTGTCCTTGGCCAATGTTTTCCTTCCCTGTGCAGCGGTGTGATAACGCTGGGTGCTGGGGCCCCCAACAAAGGTGCTGTATGGATGTAGGTTATGAAGGGCTTTGGGATGAAGGGTGCAATATAAATGCTAAAAGCAGAGGGCATAGCTGGCCAAAGTCATCCTTTTCCTGTGTGGCCCAACCACCTTTCTTACTACAACTCACTAGCCAAGGGGTCAAACCCATCTACTGACTTAGCGGACTCTGGGCCCAGTAGATTTCTTCAGAAGGGTGACAGATCTCAGCCCTGAGCTTCTGTGGAAGGATGTACCCCAGGACTCCAATTCAACATCCTTCACAGAATCCTGGTAACTTGGAATCGGCATCACTCTTGTGGTAGAAAACTATTGATGTTTGGCATAAATCCTTATACCCAAAACTTACGGTCATCCCTTCAGGGTTTCCACAGGCTAGGGCGTCTGTAGGGTTGTACAACACACCACAGAACTGCCCTCTTTTTTTCACAGTTTAGTGGGGCCCAATCAGACCAAAGGTCTGAACGTTTAATTTTTCTCCCCTGTTTTGGGGAGAATGGGAGACTAAAACCGTTCCTCTTTCCTGTGCCAAGTCACAAGTATGTAAGTGTGGAACTCTGCAGTAAAAGGGCAGCACAAACATACGTCTAAGTAATTATCAAACAATGCTGCTATGATTAAGGAGCTGGAGGAATTGGTTTACGGGGGAGAGCAAAAGGAGTTAATGGGTGGTGTCTGATAACCTTTACACAAGCATGGGAAGGGCTTGTAAGAGAAAGTAATGATTGCACACCCCAGGTTATGAACCAAAAGGACTGGGATGAGAAGAAAGAGGAAGTTAAGGCTCAATATCCAGAGAAACTTTCAGGCAGTGAGATCTGGAAGGCTGTGGGATAGTCTCCTAAAGGAAGGGGTGGAAGCCCAATTGCTCTGGACTTTTAAGAGTAGCCTGCACACAGCACTAGGGAATAATCCCGCACCGGCCTCTGGGGAAAGATTAGCTGTGACCAGCTAGGGCTCTTCTGGCTCATATAAATGCTAAGTAAAATGACAGTCAATGTCCCTAGCTCCTATCTAGACATATGGCCTGGCTTCTATGGTCCAGTTTTGGTCCCCCCACTACAGAAGGGATGTGGACAAATTGGAGAGAGTCCAGCAGAGGGCAACAAAAATGATTCTGGGGCTGGAGCACATGACTTACGAGGAGAGGCTGAGGGAACTGGGGTTATTTAGTCTGCAGAAGAGAAGAGTGAGTGGGGATTTGATAGCTGCTTTCAACTACCTGAAGGAGGGTTCCAAAGAGGATGGAGCTCGGTTGTTCTCAGTGGTGGCAGATGACAGAACAAGGAGTAATGGTCTCAAGTTGCAGTGGGGGAGGTCTAGGTTGGATATTAGGAAACACTATTTCACTAGGAGGGTGGGGAAGCACTGGAATGGGTTCCCTAGGGAGGTGGTGGAATCTCCTTCCTTAGAGATTTAAGACCCAGCTTGACAAAGCCCTGGCTTGGATGATTTAGTTGGGGATTGGTCCTGCTTTGAGCAGGGGGTTGGACTAGATGACCTCCGGAGGTCTCTTCCAACCCTGATATTCTATGATTCTAGGATTGTGATGAAGCATTGCATGCTAGGACCCATGTTCTCCCAGGGCAGCACCTACGTACACAAGTTGAGGGCTGGTGTGAGTTGCTCTTTTGTTCGCCCATGTCCTCCAACGCAGGAATAGCTGAACAATGACCTCAAAGCAACATTGAACGGTCAAACCCAAAGCGAAGGCGCACGCTTGCAGCGGCATGCACTCAGGATAGCCCAGCAGCTCTCCACACTTACCTGTTTGAGATTGTAAAAGCCTTGCTTGTCACAGTTGGGGATGTGCAGGGAATAGAGGTGCTCCAACGGGCCACGCTCATCTGGCAGACGCATGGTTGAGATACGTTCCAAGACCTGATCCAATTCCTGCTGGCAGGGGGTCTGAAAAAAGGCCAAGAAAGCGGAAAAAAAAAAAAAGAAAATCAGGGAAACAGCAGGTTTCAGCCAAAACAAAAGAGAGGACAAATCCTTTCCCCTTTCTCTGACGTATGCAGGGTAAGGTCAAGGCCCCTGACAGCCACCTAGCAGGAAGAGGTATTGTTTCACAGTTCTCACTCAACACAGCCTTCAGGTTGCTCTCAACAATCAAAGAAAAAAAAAACCCTTCAGAGGCACTTGGAGCATTTACCAGCACCGCTGATTTTTCGTATCGGGGCCTTCTGTCAAGGTCGCTCGACCTTCAAAGAGGTTCCCTCAAACATTGTGACATATTGGCAAGTTACCCTGGCACTATATTAGCATGTGTACTTACATACAGCAATCAAGCCTTCATACACAATCATCTTAATGTTAGTCTTTGTTTGTATTTCCCCGATAGATTAACAGAAACTGCCTGTGGATTGAATTCACTAGCAATAAAATACCCACAGCAACAGCTTTGTCTTTAAGCCAAGTTTACTGGAGGTGCAGGGGCTTCACATTGACAGAAGTCACAGCTCTTTACAAACATTACTGCAGCAGGCTGGGATTTTCAGTGGAATTTAAGGGAGTTAAATGACCAACTCCTATTAAATTTCAATAGGATTCAGGGGCCTATCACTCTTTAGACACCTTTAATGATTCCAGCCTTAGGCCTCTATTAGGTAGAATTAAAAAGAGGTAATCCAGACTGAATCTATGGGTTGGATCTCAATGCAGTCTCCTGCAATTTTACAGAACTCAGTGGGATAAAAACTGGGAAAACACTGTAACGGAGAAAGCGTAGACTGGAGGCCAAATGTCTGAGAGTGGCATCACATCACAGAAATAAAGACACTATGTGCACCTAACAGCTACAGAAATTGACTGGGGTTTTTTTTAAGTTGTGTATATACTCAATATTGCGGCTGCTGAAACAATTGGCTATATGGTACAACTACATTTTTTATCTAGTTGTTAATATAATATCCAGGTGAGCCTATCTGAAAGCAGAAGATTTTTGATAGTTAAAAGTCCCAAATATGCTAAACCCAGATATGCTAAACATTCGTATGCCCCTTCATGCTTCGGCCACCATTCCAGAGGCCATGCTTCCATACTGATGATGCTCGTTAAAAAAATAATGCGTCAATTAAATTTGCGACTGTACTCCTTGGGGGGAGAATTACGTCTCCTGCTCTGTTTTACCCACATTCTGCATATATTTCATGTTATAGCAGTCTCGGATGATGACCCAGCACATGTTCGTTTTAAGAACACTTCCACAGCAGATTTGACAAAATGTGAAGAAGGTACCGATGTGAGATTTCTAAAAATAGCTACAGCACTCGACCCAAGGTTTAAAAATCTGAAGTGCAGTCCAAAATCTGAGAGGGACGAGGTCTGGAGCATGCTTTTAGAAGTCTTAAAAGAGCAACACACTGATGCAGAAACTACAGAACCCAAACCACCAAAAAAGAAAATCAACCTTCTGCTGGTGGCATCTGACTCAGATGATGAAAATGAACATGCGTCAGTCCGCCCTACTTGGATCGTTATCAAGCAGAATCCATCATCAGCATGTCCTCTGGAATGGTGGTTGAAGCATTAAGGGACATATGAATCTTTAGCACATCTGGCACGTAAATATCTTGCAATGCCAGCTACAACAGTGCCACGCGAACACCTGTTCTCACTTTCAGGTGACATTGTAAACAAGAAGCAGGCAGCATTATCTCCTGCAAATTGTAACCAACCTTGTTTGTGTGAGTGATTGGCTGACCAAGAAGTAGGACTGAGTGGACTTGTAGGCTCTAAAGTTTTATTTTTGAATGCAGTTTTTTTGGTACATAATTCTACATTTGTAAGTTCAACTTTCATGATAAAGAGATTGCACTGCAGTTCTTGTATGAGGTGAATTGAAAAATACAATTTTTTTGTTTTTTACAGTGCAAATATTTGTAATCAAAAATAAATATATAGTGAGCACTGTACACTTTGTATTCTGTTTTAATTGAAATTAAAATATTTGAAAATGTAGTAAACATCCAAAAATATTTAAAATAAATGGTATTCTATTGTTGTTTAACAGCTCAATTAATTGCGATTAATCTTTTTTATTGCTTGACAGCCCCATTAAATATATATATTTTAGGATTTAGGCCCTGTGTTATATTGTTCATTTTCAAGGAAAATAAATCTCTAATTAGTGATGTTAGTTTAGCTAGGGTGCCTGGGAATTTGCTGTAATGGAATGTTACTCGGTAAAAAGAAAACTGTAATTGCTAATTCTGTGTGTGTAGCTGTCTTATGGTGAAGACTAGTACTTGATTCCTAAGAAGAGTGAAGAAAGTGAATCCTATTATAATTTCCACTTTTCATATTTAGAGTGTTCCTATAGAAAGTCCAGCTGTTGTATCTTACAAGGATATGAATTCATCGTCTGTGCAGACACCTTAAGTCAGCCAGCAGAGTTCTGTAGCACAGAAGGGTAAGTAACTCGATTTACCTCCCCTCTATGTAGGTTACATGCCACTGGAGGAGAATCACATCAGACTATATTTCTTTTAAGATGCTCCAGTGATTCTTCCCTGTGGCCTCCCTCTTTGGGTTTTGGGTAGTTCCAAGGCCCATTATACAAGGAATGTCTGACTGCACAATTTCCCACAGCCCCTACTAATCAGCTACATTTTTCCATTACCTGGCACAGCCTGCAATTTGCTGCCACCCTTTCCCTTTTCTACCTCCCCTTCGATTTGGAAAATGCAAGGCCACCCGTGAGGAGCGAGCTCCCCAGGCCCCTCACACGCTCCCAGAGCGCAAACGCTTTGGAGTGAGTCTTAAAACAATTTTAATGCTCTACTTTGCCAGTCTGTGTCAAAAACTTTCAGGGACTCAAACTCTGCTCGGCACAAGGCCAGGCAGAAGGCAACTAGATCAGTGTTTCTAGCAACTATAAACATACAGAGCGGGAGGAAAGCCCCTTGTAACATGGCTGCTCCAGGATGATCCAAAAGATGTGAGCACAGGAGTGGCCTGTATCACCTCAACTCAGCAAACCGGAGAATATCAAAAACTGAATTAGAAAAGTCAGCGCTGGAGGGAGCAGAGACTGCCTGGGATTCTCACTTCTGCTGCGTGAACTAAACTAGTGAATTGACTGATATCCAGGATCATTTAGGGGCAAATTCTCTTTCCTATGTCCAGCCAGCATACCCAGTTTGGGGCAGGGGAACTTGCTGAGGATCAGGGGGTTGAAAGATTCTTCACTCTCCAGCCTCAGGGCTGTGGTACATACATACATACACAGACACACACACACACAAATGGCGGAAACCCCTGCCATGGGGGTGGGAGATTAATAGAGGATCTGCATATCAATGGATCTGCTGGCTTTGTCTTCACTCCTCCTTAAGCCCACCTATTCCTCAAGCTCCCTGAACAGGGCGGTGGAAGGAGTCCCAGGGGATCTGGGCTTCCCAGTGCACAGGGGGTTTATGTAGCAAAACTGCCCCAGTTCCACCAGGCTCAGAGCCTCTCCAACACCCCAGTGGTGAGCAGGATTTACCCCCCACAAAGAACGTGTGTCGCCCTAAAGGGACACTCGCACAGCGTAGGCACTGCAAGTTAGGGTTTGATTAGCAAGAGAGGGAGCATTCACGGACCCTACTAGGAGTGGACATGTTTTCATCATCCTTCCCCCTGCACCCCAAACGAAGGGCCCGATTCCAGGCTCCACTGCAGCCCCTTTGTGGCATCTGAGCCACCATAAATAGGACACAAAGCTGGCATAACTGGCAGCTGGCTAACATCCCCAGCACCAGGGAAAGGGTGTCCAAAAAAAAGAGCCCTTCAGAGAGGTGTGCTGAGGGAGTCTCCTAGGCTGGGTGAGGGGGGACTAGTTGGTGCTCTGCCCTTGGAACTGTTCTAGTTTACACTCTAGGCCGTGCTGGCTCCCAGACCTGCCCAGACACCGAGATGGAAAGGCAGCATTAAATCACCTTTGCCCCTCTCCAGGAATTGTGTATTCTGTGCTGCCCCCTCAACCTCACCCGGATCTGGATTTAAACAAACATTCTCCTGTAGTGTTAGATGCCCAAACCCAGCACTGCAGCGGTTAGATTTACCCTGGCAGTTCAATCTTTTTAATGAAAGCTTCAATTCTGCAGGAATCAGCAGTTTAAACCCCTGCTTGGCAGGTACCCCTCTACCCCGATAGAACCCTGTCCTCGGGAGCCAAAAAATCTTACCGCGTTATAGGTGAAACCGCGTTATATCGAACTTGCTTTGATCCGCTGGAGCGCTCAGCCCCGCCTCCCCGGAGCACTGCTTTACCGCGTTCTATCTGAATTCGTGTTATATCGGGTCGTGTTATATCGGGGTAGAGGTGTATTTTAAACCCCTTCTGTGTGTGTGTTTATACTACACCCACCACTGTAGTGTCTAAGCACCACTGGCAAGTAACAAAGCCATGCACATTGCAGCAGGATTTCTCTGGGCTTCCCCCACCCGCCCTCCACCCTAGGGACAAGTTTTCCCCTCTTCTTGCCATACACAAGTCTAAGGCTATGTCTAGACGAGAGACCTGAGAGCGACACAGCTGCACCACTGTAAGATGTCCCGTGTAGCCACTCAATGTCAACAGGAGACAGCTCTCCCACTAGCATAATTATATCATCCCCAATGAGCGGCAGGAGAGCATCTCCCGGAGACATAGCACTGTCCACGCTGGCGCTTCAGTTTTTTCCCCACACCCGAGCGACATAAGTTTTACAGACAAAAGTGCTGGTGTAGACACCGCCTAAAGGTTTTGGTGGTTTTAAATCAGGGTCTCCGGAAACAAAGCCTGTTGGGCTGATAAACCATGAGTGACAGGTGACAGACCCAATCCCTTTCCCCTGCTTCTCCTATTTTGCATTGATTTCCCTTTAAGAAGATGACAGCTCACCCAATGGTGAGCTTTCCCGATGCTCCCTCAAGCTCCCCACAATTTACATACCCAGCCAACAAGATGCATGGTGGATTAGAAAAGATTTTCATGACAGCCTCTTAGAGTTGGTATGGCAACTTCCACCTTTTCATGTTGTGTGTGTGTGTGTGTACACACACACACACACACATATACATACATACACACACACACACACACACACACACAAACACACACACTTACTTACTATATGTTCCATTCTATGCATCCGATGAAGTGGGCTGTAGCCCACGAAAGCTTATGCTCAAATAAATGTGTTAGTCTCTAAGGTGCCACAAGTACTCCTGTTCTTTTTGCGGATACAGACTAACACGGCTGCTCCTCTGAAACAGGACAATACTGTACAACAGCTACACCTAAATTGTCCACTAGAGGGACGAAGTGGCCACTTATCGAGATCCTTAGAGACGCATCCTCACAACATGGGAAAGGGGACGAGGGAGGAATCTTCTCCTGCCAGGCTGCAGAATATAGGCAGAGCTACTCATCAGAGGCTACTTCAGCCAACCCTACACATTCCATTCAAGCCCCCAATATGGGATGGAAGACTGATGGATCCATACAGCTGGAGATTCATAGGCTCATCCTCCCTCCCCTGGCCCACGCATACCATGCAGGTGTACACTCCCTACAGGACTTCCCTGAGCCCAGATGCAATGCCTTGCACAGAAGCATTGTACTGGCTCTTCTAAGGCCATGAACACTGGGGACAGGACTTTTACCAAATGTAGCAGGTTACAGTGCTCTTCCACTGTAATTCAGAAATTGCAGCCTGCAGACATAAGGGAGGACCATGGCCTGTTGGGATCTGTGGTCTCTGTGGGGCATGAATCTATAGGGAAGATGACAGCCCACTGGCCAATTTATAGAGTGCCATCATTGCCTGTAGGATTTATTTATTATTTGGCGTATGCAATCTGGGAAAGCCAAGCCACAGCATTTTTATCAACCAAGTTCAAGGCACGAAGGTCTCCAGGAAACTGAGTTCTTTTGCAGTCCTCAACAGTATGCGTCATGGTTTGTGGCCTCCCACACTGACATAGTGGACTGTCTCTAAAACACCAGCGAAATTCTGCTGCAGCACAAATTCCATGCCCGGTACAAAACCGGTTCAGAAGGCTCCATTGCCTTTGTGGTCAATCAAATCCGGGTTGACGTTAAGTGGGGTCCGAGACAAGATCATTATTTGTCACTTTCTCTGCAGATCATGAAGCTCGCCACGTGTCCTTTACCATAAATCCCTCACCCAGTAAACGTATCTACATCGGGCACCGTGAGGGCAGATGACCATGTGGTGGGCTACAGTGGTCTTCAGTGAACTGAAGTGAACCTGTACTGTACAAGGATAAATCAAAGATTCCCACAGGGATGTTCATTGGAGTCATCTAGAGAAAAAAGGGTGTGGAGAAACCAAGCCTTGGACAAGGAGCCAATTCACACCACTGTCACCTACTGCTGTTTAGAAGGAACAGGTCCTGTTCCTACAAAGGGGAATACTCTGCATCCCTTTTAGTGCATTGCTGCATAACGCTGTAGAATTAAGGAAAGCAAGGCCTTCTCACTAGCACACAAAGTTCATTATTTGTGTGTTTGAGCCCAGTTTCAGGCCAAAACAAATGTTTGCTTCATTTGTTTGCCCTTTTTAAAAAATGCTTGTTGCAAATGCAATGATTGACATTTTCCCCTGGGAGTCTGCAGCTGGAACCAGGCTAATGAGGATTCTCTCCCAGCCCTCCACCCCCCACCCCCATTAACACACTGTTTTTGCCAACTGACCCTCATGGATGATGGCCGTAATTTCTTCAACTCTTCATGGTTGTGGTGGTGCTTGATGGCTTTGCCCATCTGTCTCTGCTGTTCATTCGCTTTCTCTCGCATGACCGCAAGCTCCTTCATTCCAGGCTTCATGGGCTTTCTCCCGCCACCTCCACTCACCACCCCGGGTGTGCCATCCACATAATTCCCCGTAAAGACTTCTTCAGGCTCATCCTCACCATTGTCTGCGTAAGACAGAAGGAAGGTCAAGAAAAATCCCAATCATTCACACAATTCCTTCCTGGATTGTTTCAAGGCTGGCACATTACCAAGCCACAAATGCCAAATTTAAAATCACATTAGCCCTTTAATTTGGAAAGTAAGGACTGCTCCTTTCATTAGGGTGTAATTACCTCTCTAAAAGATAGTTTAGAGCAGAGGGGGAAATCATTTCTGAGATACTCTTGCTGGTTTTATTTTGCCCTTCTAAATTACTTACTTAGGCCTGGTCTACACTAACCCCCCCACTTCGGACTAAGGTACGCAAATTCAGCTACGTTAATAACGTAGCTGAATTCGAAGTACCTTAGTCCAAACTTACCGCGGGTCCAGACGCGGCAGGCAGGCTCCCCCGTTGATGCCGCGTACTCCTCTCGCTGAGCTGGAGTACCGGCGTCGACGGCGAGCACTTCCGGGATCGATCCGGGATCGATTTATCGCGTCTAGACAAGACACGATAAATCGATCCCAGAAGATCGATTGCTTACCGCCGAACCAGGAAGTAAGTGTAGACGTACCCTTAGGCATGTACTTTTCCCATCAGAAGTCCAGTTGGGTTTACGGTGCCAATTATATTTCAGCTTCAAAGCTTAAAACTGAAGTGATTAGTAACGATACTTTGGGTCTATCTCCAGGAATACTTACTCCATATGTGTTACAGTAAATGTTCAAGACTGTTCTCAGAAATAGCCGCCACTGTTTTACTAGTGCCATAATTTAATGGTAGAACCTGCCATTTCAATGATACTTCTTGACAGGTCCAACTTCAACCAAATATGCTACATTTGGCTACTTCTCTCCACTCCAACACAAGTGCAGGTGCTTTGGGCTAAACATGCCACTGTTTTCAGCTTCAAGACCTAAAATATAATTTAGCAATATCAGACTCAAGCAGCAAGAAAACTTAAGGTTACAGTTGGGCTTACTCCAAAACGCTGCACACCTTTTGGTTCTCCTACAACAGAATGTGTAACATTTTGTGATCAATCTAGTCCTACCTAGGTCATGGTTGTCACTCTGCCGCAAACCACAGCCATTATGCCGTAGCAGTGGGGGTAGAACTCCTGTTCTCCAGCTTGCTTCAAAAGCACAAGCCCTGACAAGTCTCGCTGCTAAAAGAGAACCTCCACTAGCTGTTGGCAGTACAGTGCTGTGGAGACACAGAGGAGCAGTTCATCTGAGAGTAGTGGAATGCACACCCATGAACCAGTCTAATATTTGGTAGATTTTTCCCCATTCTTTAAGAGCCTGGAGCACATATTAGTTACCGCTGTGACAAAAGCCAGGCCTTATTCATCTCTCAAAAAAGACATGCATACAGTATCTTTCAACATGTAAAGAATCAAATGTAGGACTCCAGCCTTTAAAACCTACAGCACGTCAGCAAACACCAGTAACTAAAGCCTGAAATAATCTGGGATTCGTGTTTACAGCTGGATGTAATTTCACTTTAAGCCATCCAGCATTTTGGATGTCAGCAATGGACACAAAGTGAAGTAACGTTAGAACTGTGTGTGATGGAATATAGGTGCATGGGCTATAACAGTTCACATAACAGTCCTAATTTTACGGTTCTGTCCTGCTTCCTAGGAGACTCAGCTTGTAAAACATTTACATATTTCCACAACATGATGTTACCTCAGGACACAAGTGTGCTGTCAGGACACAGAGAGAAAATAATAACAACTTAATGCTCTCCGTGGCATCCTAGAAGTTGGCCAAGGATTACTTTCTAATAATAATCTTAATTGTTTACACATCAAGGTCTCCAATTTAATTAGAAACATATGATGGTGTGGGGTGGACAATGACAAATTAAATTGCCTTTAAAATGAATAGAATTAAAGGAAAAATATTGTGCCAAACCCCAGCTTTCTGAAAGCCCTTCGAGGATTTTAGCCTTTTTGTGTTATAAAGCAGAACTCAAAACACGACCAAGTTTTACCCATTTCCTAGACATAATTAACTTTAGATGTTGGTAAATTACAGTTGAGAATGAGTGGCGTGCCTGCCAATAAGGTCAGGATTTAAGAGAGAGAATATGAAACGGTGCTATTTCACTCCAGCTTCTCCACTGCTTCATTCAGAAAAAAACATGAGCACGAGCTAATGTAAAGCAAGTAAATCTAAAGCAGGGCCAGCCAGTCCTTTCCTGATCAACTCCTGTTGCTTCCTGCTTCTCACTGAAATATATAGAAATTTGCCCAAGTAAGCATTGTTCTAGTAAAACAAGGCCAGATGGTAAACATCTTGTCAGCTGGTTCATTCACAAAATCTGCTTCTGATCTTTTCATGCAATTTTTATTCCCAAAGCTAACAAATATAAAACCAAAGAAAACATTGGATGTGAGCGCACACGCTGGAGATGGGAGAGAATGGTTTTGGAAACAATGTGATCATAAAAGAGTTAAACTGCAGCAGGAGCCAGAAATCTCTAGCTGGTAGAGACTGCATCCCTTCCTCTCCGACAGATCTGTCCATGGTGATCCTTGCTTTCATCACCTTTGGACTGGACTCCTAGAACATGCCCTACCTGGGGCTGATGGCGGGGGCTATGTGCAAGCTGTTGCAACTTTTCTTAGGGCAGGGCTGCAGACTTTGTACTGGGTCCCTGTTCAGTTCCAGTTCTTGTCAAAGCTGCGGCCTGACAATGCAGCTTACGGACATCAGAGCGAAGCTCTTGTGAGATGGGGACCTGCAGCTGGGTAATGGGGGGCGGGAGGAAGGATCACCATAATAAAAGTTCGGATTCTTTCAGAGCATCATGGGGGACATGCTTCTTTGCATAGGTTGTTCCTCAATAGAGGAAGTGACCAAGTGACCAGCCTGGTTTTTTTCCATTTCCCTAGATCAGGGGTTCTAAAACTATATTTGGTAGACCCCAATGGTCCATGGAGTATTTGCTGGTGGCCTCTGAAGAGCTGGCTGGACATACGGTGCTGGCTTTCCTTGTTCCCAGCTGCTGCACTGCGTTAGAAGTCAGCGACAAGGACTTTCGCTCTACAATGACCGAAGAAATAAGAGCTAAACGAAGAAGAAGATGGCCCATGTTTGGAAAGCAACGGGAGTCCTTTAATACTTGTAATGTGTTCAAGATGTGTGCGTGCACGCGCATGGGGCAGATTGGATTGGATTAGGATTGCATTTGACAGCATCCATTTCAAAGAGAAAGCAAACATCCCTAGTGCAGGAGTCAGGATGCAACAGCAAAAGCGGAGAGGGGAAAAGGGCTCGAGGCTGGAAGAGCACATAGTAGACTTTGAGCTAAATAGTGACTTTTTACAGCCAAATATTTTTTTAAATGCTGCCTGAGAGAAGCGATTCATTTTGAAAACCATTACGCATCTATGCAGGAACCAATTTTGCCACCCATTGACCCTGAAGTTTTGGGTGGGGCAAGCACTGGTTTGCCTTTGTGATACATCTCTAACCCATTTGTCATACACCCTTCTGCCAACCAATTTCAATTTACACTAAATAGATCTACTAAAAAAAGCAGTGCTAACGTTCAAAACAATTATGTTTTATAGTTCTTCATTTTTCATATGGCGTGTGGAAAACATCTCCTGTTCTCTTTTGGATCAAAAGGTAGAGTGTTTCACACTGGGCGGAGTCACTTGTGGCAGAAGTCAAAGCAGATAGCAGAAGTTCTACCGAATATGCATTGATGTGGAGTCCATGGAATACCTGCCTGTGCGCCAAGAAAATAAGTTCTTACAGCTTTCTCTATGGAAAATTCCCATTAGCTTCAATAAGATTAAGATTTGGCTGCAATTAAAGCATATTTAAAATGTACAACAGCTAATGTCTGTAATGCATTACACAGTCTGACCAAAACTTCCAAAAGCCGGCACCAATTTCCATTGCTTCAGTCTTTGGGAGGCCAATTCCAGCTCTCTAGAGGGCTCAGGTAGAACCCCTCTATAACACTGAGGCACTCAGAATCAGTCTCACTGTAACAAAAAGCGTTATTATTATGACACCGTTTACTAATTTTATCCATTTCCAAACACATCTGAGTTGCAGGTTGGACTTGTGCCAATAGCATTCCTTCAGGGCAACAGCTCCAACCTGAACCATGAGCTAGCTGCCTGGCAGCGTGCAATTTGTTACTGTCCTTCCTTGGAGCACCATTCTGTGTCTATTTGTTTTTCTTTAGCAAGAGCTCACATGCACTGTGACAAAATTCAACAACTTGTCTATCTCCCATGTTTACAGAATGCCTAAGTGCTGATGTAGGCCCCAGTCCTGCAATGAACTCCACTCACATGGACCCCAGCACTCACCCAGAGACGCGTTAACTTCAGTGGGGTTCTGCACTGCTTATGGTGAACTCACTGGAGGATCAGGGCCTTAGAGGCCAAAAAGTATCCATTATTTTCTCTCTTTAATAACGGCTTACTACAGCACATTAAATCTGAGGACATCAAAACATTTTACAATTAATTAACTAGGCCTCACAACGCCCCCAAGAGAGAGCTATTGTCCCCATATTGCACATCAGTAAACTAAGGCACAGAGACGTTAAGTGTATTGCACCAGGACACACAGCAAATCAGTGACTGAGGAAGAGAACCCAGGAGTCCTGAATCCTCATTCCCTGCTCTAATCACTAGCCACACTCCCACCCACAAAGACACAAGGGAGTCATTATAAATAGGAAATCAAGGCAGAGCAAAATGCCCAAAGCGCCAGTATTTAGAGCTAAGCTGTCTTTTTGACGCTGTTTTTGAATGAAAGCCATAGGGATGGCCGCAGAAAGATTACCTGGAAAAGGTGGAGGAGGGAGCACATAAACATCACACCCACCCGTCCAGCTGTCCCCTCGACTCTTCCGAAGTCATCTTAGCGTTTTCAGGAGCAACCTGGGGAAAGGTTCCTGTCAGTGGCTCCAGAGCAGATTTTGCTCATGTGGAATTCAGATAGCCGAGAAAGAAGTTGGCAGCAGCCATCATACGTGCCCACA